TTACGTGAAGCCGTGTTACTTACGCTTATTCGTGGAAGTGAACGTATTGATAGAACAGCGATTATAACTGCTCTTGGACAAATTACTACCATCACGGATATTGATTCATTAGGAAATCTCGGCGATTTGTCAGAATGGTATGTTATTTTTAAAACGAAAACTGCTCGTCTAGATGTTCTCAAGGTTCCTGAATTGAAGATTGGTGATCAAATCTTTTTCATTAGCGAACCTTATAAACATGTTAAAATCGTTCGTCTATTAAATCTACCTACATCAGTACCTGATGAAGATATTCGAACCATTGCGTCCAATTGGGGTGGTATCGTTCTAAGCGTTGATGCTGAAAGGTTACCTCGTCCTTTTGAAGCAATCAAATCGTTCGTACGTCGTGTTCGTATACGTTTTTCATCTCGCCAAGATGAGGATAAAGTTCCAATCTCATGTCGATTCGGTGGATTTAATGTCTCGGTACAATTAGAAGGTCGTCAAAAGGTATGTTACCGGTGCAAATTAGCCGGTCATATCAAAGCTGAATGTACGGCATTGAAGTGTCAAAAATGTTACGAAATAGGTCATGATGAACCAAGCTGTCAGCAGAAACGATCCTACGCTACAGCTGTTGTTTCTACACCTTTGGATGTAGGTCATGCAGCACCACCAGTTAATCAACTTAATGTTGCACGTGAGGTAACATCAGGTTTTCCAATGGTTAATTCGTCATTAGTATTGCCAAAACGATTACCGTATTGCCGCAAGTGCAAACAACAAGGACACAAAAAAAAGGATTGTCCACGACACACAATCCTTTCAAACAAGGTGATGAATAAAGATGATAATGGGCAGACAAACGAAAGTGGAGATATGAATCAGGACACTCCAACAGTTACTACAACTGGATCGAGTGATATTGATTCAGCTTTTCCTGTGGTAACTCGAGAAGAATTACTTTTTGAAAGTCCACATTTAATGGCAGGTGATGAAGAACGTGATGTGATTGCACCGGTACTCATGCGTGATGTAGCACTAAACGAATTCAATCAAGCCGCTGATGTAAACTCTTTTCAATCGATGTCAGGTAGAAATGAGAAACATATCTCCGATGTTTCTGCCCTTCAACACCAAGTATTAATTGATGCTTTTAAAAATGCAGATAATGAACTTAAACGTACAAATGCTGATCGAAGCATCGACTCGGACGTTGATATGGAACGTAAGAAATCACATATATGTAATTCATCAACCTCAACCTCAGGTGAAACTGAAGGTGGCGAAGCGGTTGAGAATTAAAACGAAAACAAAAAAATTAAAAGTAAATAAAAAATTAAAAAAAAAAAAGGTTTAAAATCAAAGAAGTTATCCAAATTAAAATCCCATCTTATTGATCAAACTATGCTCAGAATTATATCTTATAATATTAGGGGAATAACAACATGCAAAAAACAACAACTGCTTAAAATATGGTTAAACCAAAATCCACATGACATTGTTATGCTCCAAGAAACACATATGACAAAATTTTTCCATCTTGAAAATTTTAAAAATTCTTTTCTTGATTATAATATTAGGGGGGCATTGGGTACATGGGTTGCTGGTGGTGTTTTAATTATGATTAAGAAAAAATATAATATGGTTGATTATGGATCAGATACTAATGGTAGAATAGTTTATATTAAAATTGAATGTAATCATGTTCCAATAGTATTAGTCAATGTTTATGCTCCTGCTCAAATAACAGAACGATGTTCCTTTTTTAAGGAATTATTTTTATATATTCCTTCTACCAAATGGATTATCATCGGAGGGGACTTTAATTGTACCCCGAACAATCATCAAGATAGAAACAAATTAGCTGCACAAACAGATAATCTATCTTATCGCATTTTACTTAAGGAGGTGATCAATCCACTATTGTTAACTGAAATATTTAGACGTAAACAACCTAGGAAAATTATTTATTCATATCATGCAAGTGCAGGCAATTATCATAGTCGTATAGATCTGGTATTTGGTTCTGATATTATATACAAAAATACACATGATATTGGTTATGTTCCAGTGGGCATATCAGACCATGACGCATTAGTTTTATCTATTAAAATACCACCATCAACCGATAAAAATATGCATCGTAGATGGATATGTAATCCTAATGTAATTAAAAGGAAATCCTTTTTAGAAAAATTCCATCGAGTATGGAACATTATTATCAACACAGCTGATCTTAATACAACTGAATGGTGGAATGATTTTAAGACAAGCCTAATTATGATAATACAACAAGAAGAAAAAGAACTTAATCGTGAAACACGACGTGAATTAGATGAATTATCTAAAGAATATCGTTTTAGAGCAACTAATCCATCCAATGATGACTTAGCACAATTAGAGATTATTAGGCAAAAACTCCACGATGCATTAACAGAAAAATTCGTTAATAGTATTCCAAGGCAAGATGACCGTGATTTTAAATGTCTTAGTAATTTAGCTAAAGCGAGATTAGCACATGCTAAAGCAAATCAATCTAGAATTTATTATCTTACTCACCCATCTAAAGGTCGTGTTGAAACAGATGATGGAATGATGGAAATTTGTTGCAACTTCTATCAAGATTTATATAATGTTAAACCAATCGATACATTTTATTGGAGTGAGTTATTCGGAGATATAGCAACACTCAGTCAAAATGATATCGACTTACTTGATCGTGATATAACAACTGATGAATGTTATGAAGCCCTTAAAGCTATGCAATTAGGTCGAGTTCCAGGTGATGATGGTTTAACGATTGAATTATGGAAATTTATTTTTCCAATAATAGGAGGTCATTTTATCAGGATGGTTAATACAGCTAGAGACAAAGGTCATTTTCACGATGGATTTCTAAATGGTCTCCTTACACTATTAAAGAAAGAAGGTGAATTTAATGGAACGATGAAAAATTTTCGACCTCTCTCTCTCATGAATATCGACTATAAAATCATAACCAAAGTATTAAGTACAAGACTAAAGAAGGTTATGAACAAAATCATACATTACAATCAAACATCAGGTATTCCCGGGAGAGCTATACATGATAATATACATTTAATACGTACAATCATAGACTATCATTCAAGAAACCGTATACCTTTAGGAATTACAATGTGGGATCAAGAAAAAGCTTTTGACAGAGTGAACCATCTTTATTTATTTGAAGTGTTAAAGCAGTTTGGATTTGGCAATGATTTCATCAATATGATTAAATTGTTATACACCAATTCCACATTTACAATTAAATTTAACAATCTCCTGAGTAAAAAATTACTCTTTAATTCAGGAATTAGACAAGGTTGCTCACTTTCTGGTTATCTATATGTTATGTGTTTAGAACCTCTGTTAAATTTAATAAGAAAAAATCCCAAGATACCCGGTGTTTTAGTTCCAGGTAGTCAATATAGATCACTTGTTAATACAATTCTTCAAAACGATGAAACAAATATTGAAATTAAAACATTAGCATATGCTGATGATGTATGCACTTTTGTTTTTAATACCAATGATGAATTTGAAACTTATGAACTGTTTAAAAAATATAGTTATGCATCAGGTGGTAAAACAAATGATACAAAAACAGTTATCTTTTGGATAAGTGACTGTCTCGATCCTCCTCCTTTTAATGCAAAAATTGAAAGAGAGAAATGTGCCTTCCTGGGAATACCAATGGATACTCAAGGTCAGTTACCACAAGAAGAAATTGATAAAATGGTAAACAACATCAAGAAAGAAATAGGACTATGGTCCTCAATAAGACTGTCCTTATGTGAAAGAGCAAGTATTCTAAAATGCTTTATAATTAGCAGATTGGTATATTTGTTATCATCAATGTTAATTACTAAAAATGTAATTGATTCCATCCAAAAAATTTGTAACTCCTTTTTTTGGGGAAGAACACATCCTTTTATAAAATTCCAAACTTGTGTTGGAAGAAAAGAGGATGGTGGTTTTGGCCTTATACATTTAGAATCGATGATCATTTCTTATCGAATTAAATGTGGCTTAACAATTACAAGTACAATACCGAAAATATGGAAATTGTTCGCATTACCATATGTAGGTTTACACTTATATAAATATTCACCTTGGTTATGGACAAATCTAATCCCACATTTACAAGATGATAAACAATTTTTAGTGATGTAGCAATACATACTGCTAAATGGTTAAAACGTGGTGGTAATGTAATAAATAATGGAAATGATAAATCTATCTATTGGAAGTTTATCAATCTAAATGTTTATCAACCTCCAGTATGTTATGAAAGGATCAGTCACTTGAAAAATATACAATTTTACAAGTTGATACATCATAGTAAATTACCATCCAACATCATAGAATTCTGGACATCATTAGCTAATTATGGAATAAATACACATGATAGACTTGGTAAAACATTAGAAGAGAAGAAATGCTTATTCTGCTCATTACCAGAAGCATTATCACATATTTTCATTACTTGCTCCTTTTTTAACGAGATTTACAAATTGTTATTTGAATACATTAATAAGTTTAATGTATCAATCACAAGAAGTGAATATGATATCATTTATCTAAAGATTGTCTCATCAACAACATCGAGGATAATTCAAAAACAAATTACATATTCGATTGGTAATTACCTATATGCAATTTGGTCATATAGATGTATTATTAACAACAGTAACAATCGAAATCAAAAAGATCATCCTGATAAATGCCAAGATAGGTTTATGAAATATATGACAAAGTTTCCATTTGATAATGGTTAATTG